ACTGGAACTGAGAAATTTATATGAATCGATAAATCGCAATTTTATAATATTTTGATTTTTTTAATCCTCGGTGCTTTGAACATTTTTTGTAAACGATATATATTTTTCTTTCGTTATTGGAAGTAGTTCTACACGTCCCTGGTATGCTTCAGCTATTTCCTTGATAACAAAATGCGCATCGTAACCGGACAAATTGTGAAAAACTACTGAAATACAATGTGAATCTTGGTAATTTAAGTTACAATTTGAATGTGCCGGACCTCTATATCGCCCAATCAAATGACAGTGATCGCGTACCCGAGAGTCGTCAGACGCAAACGGTTTCTCGCATACATGGCAGAATGTAGCGTTGTGAAATCTTTCCCAATCGTTTCGCGTGAAATCTGCCATGGGTACATTAGTGGATATAATAGATTTTACTTTGTGCGCTAAACATCTTAATTCATCGGCGAACCATACAACGCAATCCGTATCGCGACGAAACTGATACGTTGATAACGCGTCGTTATACGAGCAGTGTACGTAATAACCTATGCTAAATACTTGATGATGCTGATATTTGTAGCTCGGGGTTTACGGATCTCTCTCCATTTTTGTCAGGATACATTCCAGGTCGGCATACACAACAAACGGGACACGTTCCTTCCTGCTGTAGTTGTTAAAACTTAGCCACTTGTCGTCTTCGCTTGGTAACCTGATCGCGCATTCGTTCATCTCCCCACAGTCAACAGTGTGGACCTCCAACTTTTCGCTCGAACTAAAATAGTGCAAACATCTAAAAAATCAATTTATTTACATTGTTGAATTGTTTATTTCAAAAGAATTTTTGTAAAGTTTTTATTATACATACCTATCACAAATGTATTTCTTTTGCGCGTTTTTGCTCAGTTGCGAGCTAACGAGGCGGGACAAATTCTTGATCCATGTGAAATGTCCCACACCATCTTTCTCCACGTACAGTAAATTAACATGCTTCTCCTTCTTCGTGTCAGCGAGGCGAATCGGTAGGATCGATACTTGTTCCACGTTCTCGATGGTATATACGTTGATGGAGATTGCGTTGAGATTCTCAAACTTTTTTATTTGACTTAAAGTCATGGGGAATTGAATGTCTTTGAGATTTAACACAGATTTATAATGCGGATACGACGATTCCCGATCCACGTGACTTTTAGCTAGATATAGGGCCGCCACCACTGACCATGCGAAACATGCATTGCCTATAAATTGCACGTTCACGACCGCTTTCTTCGTTATAATTTCTCGCGGTAACTGAATATGACACCCCGCGTGCAAAGGATTAAACTTATTTATATTAACTAGCAAGTTCAATATACGTGATAATGCCCACCCGCTGTCACGTTCTTGGAATTCTCCTAGCGACGCTAAGGTAGGCTCAATAACGCGCGAATCGTACCACACGCGTAAATCGGAGCAAGAATAGAGTTCACAGTTTCTCGTAATAATACTTTTATTATCACGTTTGTCACCCGTTACGAATTCACCGTTGAATACTGTGTTTATCTTAATGTTATTATGTCTCTGCATAACATTTCGCACACGTTCGAGCACAATTTCTCGCGCATCTTCCAGAAACTGTCGAGGTTCAATGTGTCTGGAATTTATTACTGCACCGGTCAGTATACGACTGTTGAAAGCTGCGTCTATCTCACGCCATCTGAGTTCCGCACCGTATCCTGCACCCACTTGCACAAATCGTCCGCGCACCGAATCTTTCAAACTTTCCAATCGCGCGATACGAGCGATGACAGATTGTCTCACACCGATCGATAATTGTGGATTTCGAGTCTGCTCATCGAGCGAATCGATGAATTCGTCAACACGCTCTTCCCACGCGATAAAGTGTTCTCGCGTAATCAACCGGGTGGCTTGTTCGTCCAGATCTCTTATCGTTTGCTCCATATTCTTTTTAGCACGAATACACAAATATATCTTTCTCACTCTGTGTTCTCACTCTGTGCAAATAGGGCACATGTTACACGGCATTATTTGAAACAACGGACATTCGCATCCCCAGCATGAATAACCATCATGGAGTATAAATTCTTCGGTAGTGTGTCTTCGCAAGAGACGAAGATACGAAAATTGATTATTCCCTCTAATGACACATGAGGAACAGTATCTTCTCAAAACTTTCGTGTTCTTCGTCTATATAATAGAACTCAAGCATGCACATTACATCTGTGATATGCAGATCATAGACATCA